GCAGGAGCATTGGCTTCTTCACATGAAGGAAAATTTTTTTTAGCAATGTTATAACATTATATATATATTAATATATATATAAATATTTTTTTTAATTTGTATCACCATTAAAGGTCACGTGACATAAAATTTTATTGCATTTTTTTGAGCACAACTTACAATTCTGAGTTTTGAAGATTTTTCCCAAAATTGGCCACAAGGCGCAGCAAGTTGCGGGACTAGGTGACTTGCACCATATTACTTATATTATTATTTTCTTATGCCGGGAAGTTCTAAGATATTATTTTTATTTATTATTATTTAATTGTAATATTATATTATGCATTTTTGTATAAAAAGATAAGCTTTCCGTAATTAGTGAAGATAACTTGTATTTTTTAAATAATAATTAAAACAATTAGTATTTTGACGTAAGGAAAAAGGGTTTCCTTACAACAATACAATTTCTTAAATAGGAATAAACACACTGGTCTTTGAGGAAACTCTTGCTCCTAGTAAAAAAAAATGAATGAAGGTATTTTTTCTTACACAGAAAATAACTATTTTAAAAATAAATTAATTTTTATAACAACTAAATAAACTTATTTTTTATTTTTTTATAATAACCAGCTGGTAAGTATTATATTGTATTATAAATCAACTTTTATAATTTTTATATCTAATTAATAAGTTTAATTTTATTTATTTATAATAACCAGCTGGTAAGTAGTATATTATAAAACTAACTTTCATAACTAACGTAAAACAATTTTTTATTAAAACATCAATTAATTAATAAATTTATTTTTCTTTATAATAATATAATAACCAGCATGTAAGTAACTTTTACAACACAAAATAAATTTTTATAACATCATCTAATTAAATATTCTTTATTTCTTCATAATAACAGCTGGTAAATATTATATTATATTATATTATAAAATAACTTTTACAATACATTGTCTAATTAAATAAATTTATTTTTTGCATCTATAATAACAATTGAAGGTAAAATAATTTATAAATTTATCTTTTTTATAACTTTTAAATGAATGTTTATATAATTCCATTTTATTTTGAATTTTTTATAATGAAATAATAAGATAACACTGATGAGTTTAAAGAAAGGAAAGAAGAATATGGAACCTGTTCTGTTTGTGCAAGATATAATACTAATTACCAGTGGTGTCAATCATGTGATCCCAAATTGTTAGCTCAAAGTTGGACTAGCAGTGGTAATGACAAATTAGATGAAATAATCAGAAATACACAGCTTGAAGCAAAAGGATTTGATAGTTATCATTACCTTGAATGGATTCCTTATGACCAACTCACAGTTAAAGAAGGAATAGGTGAAGGTGGTTTTGCAACTGTGTACAGGTGTTATTGGTCAAATGGTCCTAGATATATTAGTGAAAATAAAAGATATTATCGTTATAATGGTAATGTAGCATTAAAAAAGATTAAAAACTCTCAAAATATTTCTGATGAGTTTTTAAAGGAGGTAAATAATTTGATATAATTAATTGACAATTAATTAATGGTTTTTAAATAATATATTAATTTTTTATTGATTTTCATAAAGCTTCAAAACCACATTAAATTTATAGGACCTTATTACAAGGGTATTGTTAATATTTATGGCATTTCACAAGATCCAAATACAAAAGAATATGTTCTTGTAACGAGATATGCACCTGAAGGAGATTTTAAAAAATATCTAAAATCAAATTATGCAAGAAAGAAAGGATGGAATGATAAAATTAAAAAACTTTATAATATTATCTTGGGTTTAAACACACTTCATCAAGAAAAACTTATATATATGATCTTCACAGTGGTAATATTTTATATTTTGGTTATTTACACCAGGCAATGATTGCAGATTTAGGGTTATCAGGCCTAGCTGATCAAGAAAAATCAAGCAAAAATGGTATTATTGGAATACTGCCATATATTGCACCAGAGGTATTAAATAAGAAACCTTATACACAAAAATCTGATATCTATAGCTTTGGGATTTTAATGTCAGAAGCATCAACACATCAACAGCCATTTAAAGATCAACCACATGATCTAGAACTTGCTTTCAAGATCTGTGGTGGCTTAAGGCCTAGTTTTTCAGATAATACTCCAGAATGTTATATTAAACTAGCATACAAATGCACAGATGCTGATCCTGAAAAGAGACCAACAGCAGATGAAGTTTTAAAAATTATTACTTTTTCTGTGGTGGCTTAAGGCCTAGTTTTTCAGATAATACTCCAGAATGTTATATTAAACTAGCATACAAATGCACAGATGCTGATCCTGAAAAGAGACCAACAGCAGATGAAGTTTTAAAAATTATTACTTTTTGGAGAGATGCAATTGAATCTAATATTTCTAGTTATTCTAAAGAACAGCTTGATGAATTAGAAGAAATAAAAAAATTATTTGAGGAAGCAAATAAAAAACCCTTTAATCCCTCAACAATTATGGTAACTGTTCACCCAAATGCTATTTATACAAGTAGATTATTGAATTTTACAAATCTTCCTCAACTTGTAAATTCCAACAAAGTTACAATTATTAGTAACAATAATGGTAATTATCATCAACTATTTGATTATTAATTTAAAATTCAATATTAACATTAATGTTAACATAAATTATCATATTTACAGTTTCCCACCTAATGGATATAAATATTTAAATTATTGGAATTTTCACATTAGTTTTTTTATCCTTTTTATTACTATTACAAGAAAGTAATTTTACATTATAAATTTTTTTTAACAATGTGATCAGGTATTATTACATGAAATATTTTGTCTCTATTTTAAGCTCCACATAGTTCAGGCCAATTATAAAAATTGGAACCAACCACCTAAAAATTTTTTAATTGTAAAAATCTTCAATTAACCAGTTAAATAAACTGTTAACTGAAGATTTCTTTAATTAGATCATACAAGATTATTTATTTGTTAAATTGTTTTCATTTAAACCACTGTATTTAGCCTATGACTGTTTTAAAAACTGATGTGAGTTTTGGGTGTTATAGTAACTACATATAATTATTTCAATAAAAATTTTTTCTTTTTAAAAATAAAATTTCATTAAAAATTTTGAAGCTTTAAATTTTATCAAACAACAAGTGATTGAACTGCAAGACATCTGAATCAAATTATTGTAAAAGATCAGGT